GAGATGGTTAAGAGTGCACCTATTTTTATGTATTACTCTATGTTTCTTTTTTTCCCCCATCTCTTTTCTTATTTGAAAGCCTAATTGAGAGTAGCTACAAGTGGGAATGCAGTTTTCATTGTAGGAAGGGAACGAAATGTTTTAAAAGCTCTCAAGTTGGGTGGTCAAGATGGTGTCAGGAGACTGGGACCCAGGTCAGGGACTAGGAGGCAAAGAAGGAATGCCAAAGACAAGCCTGGTTTGTTCTATAGCTTTACTGTGGGCTACCTCACACCTAGAAAAGACAACCAAAACGTATTTTCCCTTTCCTTGTGTTCCAATACTGATTCATTGCAGGTTTACTGGGCTTTTGTGGAATGAAGGGAGATCACTTCTACCCTGTGTATGGTTGTGCCACTGGGAAAGTACATGTCAAGTTTTGAACTAACCTTGAATTGTGCTTTTGAAACATACACTCATGAAGCAAGGACTTACCTGTAGTACAGCAGTTAATAGAATCAGTCTTTGGGTCAACCCACCTGAGTTCTAATCCTGGCTCTGACACTCATCACCTCAGTGAACTTGGACAAGTCTCATTATTATTATTTTTTTTTGCTTCAGTTTCCGTGTTTGTATTCTAAAAATGATAGTAATAGTACCTATCACATAGGGGGTCTTGAGAGAAATAAATGGTTTAATGCATGGGAAGCACTTAGAACATTGCCTAGCAAAGTGTAAGCAATTGCATAGTAATTCTATGTTCTTCACATTCCTTTGCTATTTACCCCAGTTTCATTTGAGAAAATATGGACTCTAATTTCTCTGGAATAAGATTTAGGAAGGGAAATATTTTATTTTACTCAAAGAAATTTTTTTTTACATTTTAAAAATCAATAATTCCTTAATATAGTCAAACATTACACACTTTTAAATTTCTCCAATTCTCTTCCCTTCCCTCTTTATTTCTTACAGATGATTTGTTTACGTCAGGATCCAAACAAGTTCTGCTTGTTGCATTGGTTGCTATGTCAGCTCTCTCAAGTTTCTTTTAATCTATATGTTCCCCCTTCATCTAATATTTTCCCTTTACCCCACAGAGTTTCCCATGGTCTAGATTTGCTGGCTCCATCCCAGTGGTGTCATTTAACATGTTCCATTGTCCCCTGCATTTCCTGATGATTGGTGGCTGGACACTGAGGTGTCAGATTTGGCTTCAGAGGTGTATGATCTTACGGCAGGAGGCCCATATGTCTGATTATCTCTCTGTGATGTTAGCAGTCATTGATGATCGTTTGCTAGATTCATTATTTCAATAGGGATTTGCAAAATACCATATTCTAATTATTTTATTTCCTCTTTATTTACTAGTTGGGATACTTCACTAGACAGAAATGTTCCTTCCTTGGCTATTTATGGTTACCCTGAGGAACAATTCATATTGGAAAGGCAGGATAAATGCTTGACTCTTACCTTTCACTTATAGGTTTTAGAAAAATGAATTGTTACCCTATCATCTTCCAAAGAGACAGAGAGTTTATTTACTTTTGTTTCAATGTCGTTATGGTTTTTTGTGGTGGTAAGCTTTACTTTCTTTCTCTTTCTAATATTCATTTTTGTTCTACCAGTGGGTTTTGTTCTTTCTTGTGTATTCATGGTAGTGATTAGTGTTTTTTAGATTCATGATGCAGGGCTCCCTTTAGGATTTCTTGCAGGGCTGGTCGTATGTGTAGTGGAGAACTCCTGCAGTTTTCGTTTGTTTGGAATATACTCCCTCATTTCTGAAGTAAATCCTTGCTGAGTATAGCATTCTTGGCTGGCAGTTTTTCTCTTTTAGTATTTTCAATATATTGTCTCATTTTCTTCTGCTGTGTAAAATTTCTGTTGAGAAGTCTGCTGTTAGTCTGATAGGGTCTCCCTTACATGTGACTTGACACTTTTCGCTTGCTTCTTTTACGATTCTCTCTTTGTCTTTGAGCTTTGCCAGTTTGACTATAATGGGTCTTGGACAGGGTCTTTTTGGATTGAATCTGTTTGGGGATCTTTGAGCCTCCTGGATCTGAAGGTCCATGTCTCTCCCTATACCTGGGAAGTTTTCTGTTATTATTTCATTAAATAGGTTTTCCATACCTTTTCTTTTCTCCTCCCCTTCTGGAACACTTATGATCTGAATGTTTGTGCACTTAAAGTTATCTGTTAGCTCTCTTAGATTTTCTTCATTTTTTAAAATTCTTTTTTCCTTTTTTTTTTTTTTTTGTATCCCTGGGTTATTTCTAAAAGACTGACTTCAAGATTAGACATTCTTTTTTTTTTTTGGTCCTTTTTGAGACCGGCCGCACTGCGCTCAGCCAGTGAGCACACCAGCCATCCCTATATGGGATCTGAACCCGCGGCGGGAGCGCTGCTACGCTCCCAGCGCCGCACTCTCCCGAGGGCTTGGCCCTGCTACATTATTTTTGAAGGTATTAACCTCTTTGTAAATTTTCTCTTTCATATCCTGGATTTTTTTTTCTCATTTCATTATGTTGTCTGAGTCTTCTTGTATCTCAGTGAGTTTCCTTAAGATTGTTGCAGAATTCCTTTTCAGTCATTTCAAGGGTTTCTTGCTCTATAGTATCTGGTATTTGAGAATTACTGTATTCTTTTGTTGGTGGTCATATTTTCTTGGGTTTTCATATTTTTAGTATCTCTATGTTGATGTCTGGTCATCTGGTAGAGCAGTTGCTTTTTCTGTTACTCTGGAATGGGCTTTGAGGAGAAAGACATCCTCTTCTTTTTCCAGTCTCTGCTGGTGACTCTCCTTGTATCAATATGGTTGAGTGTCTGTGGGCTGCCTGCATGGCAGCTGTGGCTACTACTGTGGCATCAAGCCACTTTTGCAGCAGCCGTGGCTGTGGCAGTGGCTGTGGTGGGCCACTCCCCTAGAAATGGTGTTTTCAGTGTGCTCCTTGCCTGCTTCCAGGTGGGGATGCTGCCCTTGGCTCCTTCCTAGGAGCCCAGCTGCTCTGTTGCTTGCCTCTGAGTACTTCCTAGGATCTAGGAGTGCTCGGAGGAAAAGAAATATTTTAAAACAATGTTATTTAAATGATACTTTCTTAGTCCTGTAAATATCTAATATATTTGCCGAATGGCAGTCAGGTGTCTTCTTTACACCAAAATACTTTTCCGAACCAATCAATATTTCATGTCCTAATGCAAAATCTCTCTTTCCACATCTTCATTATCAAATTTAGTTACATATTAATGTATGTAGATAATTACATGAATGTTAGGATTCTAAAAGATATTCAGTCTTAAGATGACTTGCTGAGAGGAAAGTCAAAAACATTTTTACTTAAATGTAATTGCTGAGTTCCCCCTTTTCACATTTTTGTATATAACACAATCTCTCTCCCATGATTCTTTTACGGACCCTATCAGGTCCATTTTTTTTCCTCAATGTCTGGCATATCCCATTATGTTTCTGTAATCTGTAAAAGTATGAATAGAATATTGTAAATATGCTTCTTTGGTCAAGGAATTTTTAAAACCCAATTATTAGGTCATTGTATGAGAATAGATGATATGGGAGAGTAAGTAGAGGCATGGCCTGAACTTAAAACAGCTGGATTCTGATCCTGTTTCTGCCATTAGGAGCTGTGTGGCTTTGAGTCTATTCCAGAATCTTCCTGGGCCTGTCTCAAATGAAGGATATGAATCAGGTTTTGTTTAAGGCTTCTTATAAATCTAATATTGTGTGATTGTGTGGATATCTTACTAACCCTACATTTGTAAAGTATATGTTTTTATTTGACTTGCATGTATATTTTCTTTACCAGTTTTCTTAAAACTATTTGAAATGCTTTAACCAAATGTCCAGCCAGGATGAGAGATGTAGCCTATAGTTAAAACGTAGAAAAAGCCACCTGGGTCTGCAAGGAAACAAGCCCATGGCCTTTGTATTGTTACACAGAGTTGCAGATCTAGGGGTGTTTGTTTACATGTCAGGGGACTAAAGATAAGCTCCAGGGCCATTATTCTTCTTACCATTAAAGGTTGGTTGTTTGCATTTTTCTATTTTGCAGAAGACAGAATAGAAATCCATGATTGTACAAGGTCTTCCAATTTGCCACTTGTCTGTATAAAGTTTCTTTTCTGGGAAGGCTGGGGAGGTTAAGGAACAGCTTTCTCTCTGCCTCTGAGAGACATTTTGAATTTCTCAAAGGGAAGATTAAAAATTGAGAGTAATCTATGTTGTGACCTACTTCTGACTTTGTGATTTGGGAGCCTTCATTTTCACTTTAATTTCCCCCTTTGGATACCAAATAGAACTCTTTTTTGGCCAATGAATATATTTCAGCACAGGGAATTTTAAAAATTCGTTTGAGATAAATGCTTCTGATTGATTTTGGACATGGCCGGCCCCATTGTGCACACAATAAGCACCAGCAGGAAGTAGCTGCCAGCCTCGTCTTCCACTCCAGCACCAAGCCTGTCCCCTCTCCCTTTACAAGAAGCCTCCTGACTTAGAAACAATTTTCCAGCTTCTGCATTGGTGCAGTTCTCCACCCAGTTATATCAACCTAATGGTCCCTCCCCCTGTACATTTTATGCCCCAAAGCTAATATAAACTCTCACAAACACATTGTTGGGGTTGTCCCCCATTTTCGGGGCAGCCCTGGGCTGTCCTTCATTTTGAGCACAGCTTGGCAGATTTCTTTCTTTAATAAAGCTTGAATGGTACCCAGCACCAAGGCTCACTTTCTTTCAGCTTCTATAAGAGATAGTTAGATGATGTATTATGAAACTAGCTCATTCTCTCTATAATCAGCATAATAGGTTGGTTGAAATTATGTCATAGGAATGAATGTCAAAATTAAAGTTGTTGACTACAGTAAATATAAATTAAGCAAATATTACAGCACTGGTGGCCAATTTTTCTTTAATTTCACTATTATTTTGTAATAACGTTACAAAAGTATTGTGATGTTGTATCAAGAAGTATTTTGTAAAAACATTAATTTATACCTTTTTTTTTCTTCCAGTCATGAACTCCTGCCCTGTAGGTCTTTCTGTGAGGCTGCAAAAGAAGGCTGTGAATCAGTCCTGGAGATGGTGAATTACTCCTGGCCTGATTTCCTCAAATGCTCTCAGTTTAGAAACCAAACTGAAAACAGCAATGTCAGCAGGATTTGTTTCTCACCACAGGAGGAAAAAGGTAAGCAATGTAGGTATTTGTGTTTTATTTCATTTTTAAAGTTTTTATTTGAAATTAGAACTGCATTAAATCTACAGATCAAATTGTAGAGAATTGCTTTACAGCTGTGTTTGAGCTTCCTCAGGGACAGTTTTTGTTGACTGCTTTTTTCCCTGTATATGAGCCATATGTTCTAGTCACTTTGCACATCTTATGATGTTGTCTTTAAAGTTGCATATTTAAATAATATAATGCACAACTTTGCAAATTAGATCCTCCCCCTCCCCAGGATTTGTTATTATTGCTGTTTCTTGTTGCTTTTGGTGTTGCTTTTATTTGTTTAGTGATTTCCCTGAACTAATTATGTTAAGTTTGTTCTTTGTCATGTCTGGCCTCTGAAGTTTTATTTCCTTAAATGCTTTGAACCAATAAATATACCAGTCTTTGCTAAGGGACTCTTTGTTCATGCTGGAGTACATTTTTAATAGTACCCCAGGCAGTTTACAGCTCTGCCTTATCTTTCAATTCCTGCTGTGCAGAGTCTCAATGTCAGCCAGAGGAGAGAGATTAGGGTCTTTCCAGGTCTTTCCTGGATATATGCATAGTCCCGCACATTTCTGTGGCCTTCTGGGTTCCCAGGAAAATATTAGGATTAGAACTTTTCATATCCACTTATGGACATCCCATTCCCCAAATTTATCTTTAAATTTTTTTGTTCAGCTTCTTGTTTAGTCCAAATGGTTTCCTTACCTCAGGCAGTTGCACTGTTAAACAATTGCCATTAATTTTTTATTTTTTTCTTGAGAATCACCCTGAGGAAAAGGCTGTTTACACTGAGTGAGCTCCGGTTCAGGTCAAATAAAGACATTGCTTTGGAGGGTGGGTAGTTTCCAGGAGCTACTGGCCAGGTCAAATAATGACAATTCTCTGATAATGGGGCACTTTGGAGAGCTGCAAACATGTTCTGCCCCCTCCAGTGGCTCCTTTTTACAGCTAATGTAGTTGTGAGGTTATTGGATTTCAGCCCACCCCAGATCTGCCAGGAGGGGATGAGAACAGGAGAAGTGAAGATGCCACAGTGCTTAATGTTCTTACCAAGATTCAGCCATTTTTATTGAATAAATCCTCCTTGTGTTATTGTAAGCCTTTGGTTAATTTCCAGAGTTCTGAAAAAGTTGATTTTGTCAACTTTTGCCAGTGTTCCCATTGCTTTTATGGAGGCGAATTTTCAAAGTTCTTGCTCACTGTTCCAAAAGTGCTTTCCCTACATTTGTTGCTTTTTGAAAATTGAAATATTCTAGCTTTCCTGGAATAAGCCCCAGTTGGGCATGATGTATTGGCCTTTTAATTTATTTTTGAATTTTATTTGCCAATATTTTGTTTCAGATATTTGTATTAATGTTTATAGAAGAAATTGACTTGTGATTTCCCTTTTGTGTTATTTCCTTTTTGGTATTAATTCCATTAAAAGAGTTGAGAAGAGTTTGTGAAAGATTGGTATAAATTTTTCCTTCAATGTTTAAAAGAATTTACCAGTGAAACCACCTCAGCCTGAATATTTCTCTGTGAGAAAATTTAAAATTACAGATTCAATATTGTTAATGGATAAGGGACTGTTCGGAATTTTTGTTTCCTCTAGTTTTTTATTTTTTTCCAAGTTGTGTATTTCAAATAATCTGCTTATTCTTATATTTTCAAATTTTGCATATAGGTATTCATAATGTTCTCTATTCTCTTTTTGATATCTGTAGGATATATGGCGATATTTCTTTTTTAATTCCCTTTTTTTAATTTTAATTTTTTAATTTATTTTTTGAATCAAAACATAATTGATTATACATATTTGTGGGGTACAGAGTCAACTATCAGTATTTGTGTACAGTATTTGATGATCAAATCAATATTATTAGCATGTTCATTATTTACTTTTTCTTTTTGGTATTGATAATATATGCCTTCCTTCTTGGTAAGTCTTACTAGGAATCTATCAATTTTATCTGTATTTTCAAGGAAATTTTTTTTTGGTTTTATTGCTTTTTTTTCTATTGCATATCTGTTTTCTATTTCCTTAATTTATACTTGTATGTTTGTTATTTGCTTCTTATTTTTTTTTATTTTAATTGGCTGAGAGTTCAACATTTTGGGGTGTGTGTGAGGGGTTCTAGATGTCTTTATCCCACGTCTCAGCATTACCTCTTGCCACCTACCGCACAACCACAAACTTTGCCTTGGCATAAAAGACTTGTCTTGGTTAGGTGTTTATTCTTTCCTTCCCTTGAGCTGGACCACTGCATTAGTTCCAGTGCCTGGTCCTCAGTTTTCTAGGCTTTCCTGCTATAGTATATGGGAGCTTCTTTCTAAGCTACTAGGGAGGCCCTTTGGCTTTCATAAATGGGTTACAATTGCCTATAGCTTTTAGTTATCATTTTCTATGGCACCGATGCTTAGCAATAAACTATTCAATCCATTGTCCTTATTTTCTCTGTACCTTCTATTTCCTCTGTACTTTCAAGCACCCAATGAATTACCTTACTTAAGTCCATTCTTTTCCATAGGTATACTATCCCAATTTACCTCTGATGAGGGTTTTAACAATTGGACCACTCCCTTGTGTCAGGGAATGTCTGTGTCCACTACCACCAACAATGGCCTCTTCACTTCCATCCCAGCAGCATATAATCCAGATCAGTAACCCCCACCTTATCACCTGCTTTCTTGGACCACTCTTGGGACCAACAATTACAAGTTGGGTTTTGTAGAAACAGTCATTGAGATAGACTTGGGAGTGCAGGGTACTAATTGGGCATCGGCCCTCATGTTGAGGAGGGGAGAGAAAGCAGGATTGGGCAGAGGAAGAAGTTGAAGTGTGATCCAGGCCTATCACAGCCTTGGCTAAGTCCATGGGGAGCTCTAGGACATGTTTGGCTTGAAAGAGTTATCTCATGTGAAGCTAAGATAGTCGAGTCTTTATATCTCTGCCCCAATCAAGAGTCACTGGATGTGGTCCTTCCTGGGAAGGGTGTGCCCTTGGGTGAGACAGATCTCTGCAGCATTCTGCAGCTGAGGCAACACTTGAAGGAGCTGACAGGTAAAGGCTGGTGGCTGACAGAGAGCAGCAATTCCTTTCTTGAAGGGTAGGCACATAGAGTGGGGCCAGACCATGTTTTGCTTTGTTTTTATAAGGCTCTGTCTGCCTCTGGTTTGTCTTCATTCAGAGGGTATGTCTCTCCAGTGGTCCCAACTGAGAAACTGGGGGGTTTGCTATATTCCCCTCCTCCTTGGGCAGCCCTAAATTCTAGTATTTTTCTTCTCAGAGCAATATAATTGCTGTAATTTCCACTTTATTTTTCATAAGTTTTTGGCTTAGCTCTGTAGCCTCTTGCAAATGCCGGGAGGGGCCTATCCTCACAAGTGACAGGCTCACTTCTCTGTGTCTCTCTTCTCACTGCTTACTTGGCCCCTTAATACTGACTGCTTCAGCAACACCCAACTGTAATGTTTGTTTCTCTACTCCTGTGGGGCTGTTAAAAGCTGTGCTGTCTTCTGTGCCTCTTTGCAGTGGCCCCATGTTCAGATTCTCAGTTTCTAGCACCGTGCCAAGGTCTGGCAAGTTCCATGAGGGAAAAAGGCACACGGAGAATGTGGACTCTTTGTTCTTTCTGGGACCTTGGCCACGCATGTACTAATGATCTTGTCAGTTCTCAGATGCCTTTAAACAGATGTTTCTTGTATTTTGTCTGGCTTTTCTAGTTGTACATGATGGGGGCATTGACCTGCTGTAAGTTACTGCATTGTGGCCAGAAGTGGAAGTTTATTTAATTTATTTTTTTAACACATTGTTTAGTAGAGATCTATTGCTAAGTTAGAATTCCCTCTAAAAGATGGTACATAGCAATAAGCCACCAGATGAGTGAGCTTATCTGAAAGAGAAGTCTTTCAAGTCTTCTCTTTTTCAGCTATATTTACTCCTGTTTTGATAAGAACGCTTATGGTCTTTATTAGTGGTCACTTGAAGAATGTAGTCCATTGATACAGAATTTAAGAATCCATTGAGAAAACTTAAAAATCAAAACATCATCAGTGTTCTTTAACACTGTTGGTCAAATAGTGTCAGTTCTTGAAAATCGAAATAATGTTATCAGTATTCTTTAATACTGATTGAGTTTAATAACTCAAACTAAAATGCTACTTAAAATATTGGTTCTCCAATATCAGAAGATATTGCAAATTTTCTAATCTTGGAAAAGATCAATGATATTGGAATAGATCTTGGAAAGACTGATGAAACATTTATATTTAAAAACTTATGTTTATAAAGAACAAAAATTTTCTAAATACACTCATCTGAGATCCTCAATTTGTTATACAGTATTTTTAGAATTCTTGGTTGTGTATTAGAATAAATTCTCTGAAACTGGGTCTGATAACTGGTATTTGATGCAATATTTACATACAACTTAAAATTCTGTCATGCTTGATAAACAGGATGCTAGCCATCATAGATAGGTTCCTAGTTCATGTGCTACGGTGAAAGCTACTACTAGTTATGATCTTTGTATATGCATAAGAATGTAATTTCTAGCATCTGCATACATAGTTACTAAAAAGCATTCGTGTACTAAGAATATATTGTATGCCAACTAGAAAAGTATTTACTATGTAATACAGTTTGTGCTGTTTATATTTTGTATTTTTATAAATACACCTAATGTTGTCCTTTTCTCATTTTTTTCATTCATTCAATAAATTGATTGAGTACCTATTCTGTTCAGAATATTATCTCTGAAAACTTTGAGAAAATGAAATAATTACAGTGATCATGATATTAACTTATATCCATCTAGTGTAGTGGTTCTCAACCAGGTGGTTTTGTAGCCCTTCCCCACCCCAGGAACACTCGACAATGTCTTTCAGCATTTTTGGTTGTTACAACTGTGGAGATAGGAGGTGATACTAACATTGAGTGGGGAGAGGCCAGGTATGCTGCTTAACATCCTACAATGCACAGTATAGTTCCCCACAACAAAAAA